AATCGAACCAGCAACTCCAAAACCACATATGGTATCTCCTACCAGAAGCCCTGATCACAAGGCTTAGTTTTATAGCCCCATACGCCATCCCTTGTCCTCCTCTTCTAACTTCTTGCCTGTATACTAATTAATTAATTGAGCATACCTGCCTAAATCATCCGGTCTTGATTCTTCTAATGGCATGCCTGTGAGGGTTCTAGAAGTTAGAAGTGATTTGGCTTTAAAGGTTTTGATTGCCCTGAATATAAAATCAAATAAAAATGAGAAAATGATGAATAGAAGAGAGCAGTGAGGTTGGAAATTAGCCTTATTGCCTGTGCAGAGAAGAGGCCCACTTAGGTTGGTTTTTATCTTGACCTATTTTGAGAGTGATATATTTGGCTCGCAACCAAGAATAGAAAATAAGCAGGGATCCGTGTCTGCCGAACCAACCCCAGCACGTTTGACATTTCGAGCTGGAGGCGTCTTTGTTGGGGCGCTCTCCTACGCATTCCTAAGTGTTTAGCGGTGTCTTGACCCCGACTCACTGGGTGCTGGTAGTAACCGCCGTGAGTCGCGACCAGAAATGTCTTGCAGACAGTGCCAGTTGTCTGCCCTGGGGCAGAACTGTACTCATCTGAGAGCCACTCAGCCATACTGTGAAAGGCCACACACTGTTGAAAGAGAAATGAACTAGCTTTCTGTGGGTTAAACCGCTTCTACGGCACTCCGTCGTTTGTGTTTAATGAAGATTCTTTTACACAGTGTAATTCCTTGTTTTTTCACTTCTCTTCCTGTTAGAGTTAGAGAACTCCTTTTCCTGACATGCATTCTTTCTTACAGTCGGGAAGGACTTATGGTGACAGCAGATCTGGGGTCTGGTCTCAGTCCTGTGCATCCTAGCCACAGGGTGGGGACAAATTCGTGTGCCTGCCCTCCTCTGAGCATGTGCTGATGAAGACCTCCAAAATGGCACTCTCGCTCCAGCAAACACTTGTCTGTACAGTCTTAGTTGGCCCGCGGTGCCTGCTCAGTACACATAGACTGCCTACTGGCTGTTAGATTAAGCAATACTGGCACTCACTCCCACCTGCTGTAAATTCCAAACAAGGCTGAAAGCAATTTGGGCCCACACAGAAGACTTCGAACTTGACTTCCATGACAGACACGTCCCTTTCTTTCTGAATGGAAGACTCTAAATGCCTCCTCTCAAGGGAAAAGTTGTATTTGCTCCTCTAAGAGCATGAGATGTGGCGTTATCGGACAGAGTATCTTTTCTCCAAATATGGTAACGCTTCATCCCCTGTTGCCGGGGTGAAGGGAGGTAAAGCTCAACACTTAAGTCCTGAGCCCTCTGCCAGGCTGCCTGTTGCCTGCCAGGGGAGTCACTTCCTGCCTTTGAAGTGTTAGAAGCTCCCGTTATCAGGCCACTGTCTAAGGTCTGCACTAATCTAGAGAGCGGAAGCAGAGTACAGTGGCTGTGGCCTGGCAGGTGGAGAGAGGGCACAATGGCCTGACATCTGGACATTTTCTTTCTTTTTCAGCCCTTGAACAAGGAGATATTTGTATCTCTGATTTCCCAACGGAACTTTGGGAACCTGTGATAGGAATAAAACAACAGAAGCTGTCACTGATCAGTTATCTCCTATTTGCTAAACATGGTGCAAAGGGCCTTTCCTCTGGGATCATTTTGTCATCACGGCAACTCATCTAGGTAGAGACTATGTGACCTATTTTAAAGACTGAAAAATGTCACAGCCAGCAAAGTGATGACTTTGGAAGTGAATCAAGATCCTTCCAGAACCCATGCTCTTGACTACTGGGTTTGCAAAACTTCCCTACTTAGCCCATATTCTGGATCAAATCTGGTTGAATCCAAGAATGAAACTGAATTACTGGATTAAACAAGCAAATAATGAGTCTTCCCCAATATTATGCCATTCTTAATTTCCCAGCTATATCTTAAGTACGGACTATATATCTGATACTGCATAGTGCTTTAACAAGACACAGTAAGATAGGGCTTCGCCCTCAGAAAGTCGAAGGGGAAGGTTAAGGCATTGCTTCTGACCTCCAAACATTCATGGTGGTATATGCATGCCCATACACATATATACACAGACACAAAAAAATTACCACTTCCAAAAAATATCTATAGCAAGGGCAGAAAAGTCTGCTGCGGAACATATGTGATAAAAAGACTAAGGTTCAAGGTTTTTTGTTTGTTTGTGTGCTTTTTCACTTTTTTTTTTTTTTTTTTTTTTTTTTTTTGGTTTTTGAGACAGGGCTTCTCTGTGTAGCCCTGGCTGTCCTGCAACTCACTTGTGAGATCAGGCTGGCCTTGAACTCACAGAGATCTAATTGCCTCTGGAGTGCTGGGATTAAAAGTGGGCACCATCACACCCAGTTTGAGTTTTAATCTAACTGAGTACTTGTGTAAATAATGACTTCTTATTTCTCCTGAGCCTAATACAACATGGTGACTTAGCTAAAAGACACCCAACACTAACTGCAGGAGCCATTAACGAACAGTGAAGGTTGATCTAATGTCGTAGAAAGATGTAAAATGCAGCATTATGCCGCAATGTACTTCCCCCTTTGGCTATTTCTCTTCCCAAGAATTCTGCTGATGAAGTCACATCCCAACATCTTGTCAATCCTGAAAATGTGTCTGTGGCCTCTACTGCCTTTTATATTCATAGTCTATCAGAACATCTCTCTATCCATCCTGATACAGATTAATTTCTACTCCAATTTCCTACCCTGCCTATCATCGCCTTTCATTATGCTGATTGGGCTTGTGGGTAAAGACAGAATCCCACCCAAGAAAGGGGAAATGGGAAAGACTCTGGGCACTTGTATTTTGTATTTTCAACCTGTCACACGGTTACATCACTAGGGTAGAACTGCCTATCTCTAACAATAACTTGGAACCTAGGTAACCTTAGGCTAGTAACTCTCCGATCTTTGATTTCCTTATTTGTGAAATGGGGGTGGCTTTTCCTATTCCTAAGAAGAATATTGGACACTGAAGGCTAAAAACATTAAGTATAATAGACTAAGGTTAAGTCCATGAATACAACTTTAACACATCTGCCCCCATGAGCTCTTGGAAGCCCATATAAACAACACAGCTATTTGGACGATACACCTAACTGCAAATTCCACACAAAGGTGTACGTCTAGTAACTCAGCCGGGCTCAGTCTGTAACTGTCATTATTCCTGTTTGAATTTTATCTCATTGGCCTTTTTCCGAGCACATACATCTCCCAGATCTGATTGCAACGACAGCCTCAAGAATATTGTGCTGTGCTGTGTCAGCATCCATGAGATCTATGCTGTGCTTCAGGGCTGTATGGCTTCCCTATAGGCTGACCAGGATGTTTTTCCCCATGTTAGTGTCTCTCTCTCTCTCTCTCTCTCTCTCTCTCTCTCTCTCTCTCTTTCTCTCTCTCCCTCCCTCTCTCAATGGCAGTGGCGTGTCATCTCTGTGTGAAAGAATGAAGTATCGTTTTTCTAGTTAGGACTGGTGAATGTCAGCTACCATGATGCATTAGTGAAACTTGTTTGGGAGTGTGCACATAGTGGGCCTCATTTTTCCTACTGTTCTGCAAAGTATTTAACAATCACACGAGGAGCACATTTTCCATTTTCACTTACCATTCATTTATGAATATATTATGTTCTATATTATAGTATATCATAACTGCTTATCCTGTTGCTATATAATCATCAAAATTAGTATGATTTTAACGATCCATCTTATTAGTTACTATAATTTGCTTAACTTAAATTTGTACTATGATTTGCTTAACTTAAATTTTTCAACAATAGGCTCCTTTCCAGCTTTTCCTGTAGTATAAACAACCTCTAGCTTACAGATTTTTGCTCAGAGCTTCTTTCATTTTTCATATTTTCCCTTTGGGTCCAGTCCTAGGAATGGGATCCTTAGATCAGAGGATATAAATTTTTAATGATTTTTAAATAAATGGATGTTATTTTTCCAGTTTACAATGCCACGAGCAACGTATTAACATTCTGCTCACATTCCGGCCTTATCAGAAGTGTGTGTTACTATTTGATATTTAATACACTTACAAGAGGACCTTTTGTTTTGCATTTTTCTCATAAGTAACAAGTTTTAATCAAACACTTGCTTACAAATTGTGTATCTTCTTGTGTTTTGTAGAGCCAGCTCGCCTCACAAACCTAGGAATACTTCTTTTCCATCAATAACTCCTGCTGTTGCTCAGTAATTTTGTGGATTAAATAAAACTAATGTTGAGTTCTTAGAGAAAGCATTCATGTATACTCATAAAGATGAATTATTGAGGACCTGTATGTGGAGAACAGTGTGTAAAACAGCCAGATAAAATAATGGGGAAATTCCAAAGTTAAAATGAGGATAATAAATCTATCCCAGAATTCAAAGTCTGAAGCAGGACTACAGTTCCCATAGTTCCAATCTCTAGGCAGATTTGAATGGCTTCTTCTTTCTAGCCCCAAACCCAATGTGCAAACTCAGGCGCTCTTAATCATACTGCTTCTAATATTTCCCTAGTGATTTTATTTAGAATTCCTAATGAATGAAACCATCCTTACAAAAAGACAAACAGACACACACAGACATACACACACGTCTTGCGCCATTTCCAAACTCATACTCCTAGTGCCTCAGGTCCAGACATGCATGCAGCTCTAGAAAATGATATAGATTCCTAGCCTGATACCCTGTCAAGGGACTGAAATCCAAGTCCAGAGACCCAGTTTTGCCCTCCAGGGAATGTGACCTGGCTCTTGAAATGGGCGTCTTCTGTTTTGCCAACAGGTACAAAGATCTTTCATGACAAGTCACCACTAATCCATCCTGAGTTGAGTAACCCTCGTCTCGGCTAGCCCTTTCTCTTTGACCTAAGGGTGTTAGGGTTTATTCAAATAAGATAAGTGTTACATGTTGGTATGTCAGACTATAAAGGAAGCCACTAACCATATTCCCCCCACCCTTCTTCCTTTCTTGCAGCCTCAGTGGAGAGTTCTCCATAAACACAGTAGCCATGCAAGCCGCTGCCTGGCCAGTGGGCATGAGCATGGCCTGTTCCCCAGAGAAAGACTTACTCTTGGCACTGCCAGAAGAGATCCTTGAAGCATGGGCAGATTAACTGGATTATCTGAGAAGACGCCTATTCAGTCAAGATCATGAAGTTTGGGAGGATAAAAAATTCATCTTGGTTTGCCGTGGATTTTCAAATGAGGTGCATAACGTACAGTGCCAACTCGTTCCAAGTGGTCATTGGCAGGCCATTAGCTGGAAAATTACTTCCAGTTCTCATCACTGTGCATAACTCAAGTTCCCCTTGGGCTCTGTCTGTGCCCTTCACGACAAGTCCTGTGTTAGCATGGCAACTACTGGATTTATTTCATTAAGCGTGCAGATGGCATGATGTTTTAGAAAAACAAATACAAGAGTTCTGCAGTCTCCGTGGAAGGGTTCACAATATTATGCCCTGGTAGGAATGTAAACGCGTCTTGATTGTGTTAGTTGTGGTGTCCCAAGGTGTTCTGTCTAATGCTGAAGCACTTTATCTGAGAACACGACACTGAGCTGAAACCACATCTGGTACATGTAGAGAAACAAATGTCTCCTCTCTTCTTTCTAACTCTTGTCTTATTTCTGGCTCAGACTGTCCAAGACAAACTCCACTCCTAGTATACTCTCAGTGTTCTGTGGTAGATCATTGTAAATATGGCCACGATACTGTTAGATTTCACTTGCTGATGCTTCACCGGATAACTGGATTACTTCCAGCACAAAGGGAAGCCGAAGCTAGCAAGTCTAGTAACTGGACTCTTTGAAGTCTCGCTTCACTGTACCCAGGAACAACTTCACACATCACATCATGACACACTTTACAAGATGCTTCTCTCTGGCCCATGCCTACAAACTCCTCTCCTACAGAGGAGATCTTCCAAACACAGAGACTCGTGGATTAATGCCAAGGGCAGCAGAATGCAGCCTACCTTAGTGGCCCCACTTCCACACTTAGGAAAACTTCCAGAGGTCAAGTTTCAAATCACAGTTCCAGAGAGAAGCATCAAACGACCTCACTGTGTGCCCAGAGAAGTAAAATATTCAGCCCACAGTAGGTTTTCTTCCTTGGCACAGAACTCACTCTTCCATGGTAATGCTTCCTGGGATGTATATATGACTATTTTCTTTAATTCTATCCAACAACAAAGCACAGTCCTGGGAAACCGTCCATTCAGTCAGTGTTTTTAACCTGAACACCAGAAGTGTTCGTTCATATTGATTGCCCCCTTGTGATACATTAGCATCTTTTCCCTGGACATTGAACCTTGGCTGAATTAAAACACAAAAGTGTGTCATGAACACTCACTAACCTAACCTGGAACCCACAGGCATCAGAGACTAATATTTACAATGGGTGTAACAATATCTGGTACCCTGCCAGCATAAACAAGCAAGACATTTTTGTATTGTCCCCAAGCCCTCATTCTCTGTCCCCACTTGCGGTCCCAGGAAGTGGAAAGACCTGAATACACATAGTATCTCTCTAACAGTATCTCTCTGCAGGGTGGCTCCAGATGTGAGCTAGAGAGGGGCCTCAGAGAAATGATAGCTAACCGTGAGATCGGGACCTTTAAACCAGAACCGTCAAAGCAACCCCAGACCATAATTCTCTAAAAAGTTGAAATTGGTAATGCAAGCCCAGGTTGCCATGGGTCCCGCTCTATGACCCATCCATTTGCCTTCGTTCCACCAGCAGGGTTTATGTGTCCCTTCATGCCTTCTTTTTGTCCAGCAAGCAAGCATCTGTTGAGGGACCACCATGGGCCATGAATGGTACTGGGTCAACTCTAGTACAGAAGGCACATTCTTCCTGCTTCTATTGAATTCTCTCCTTCAAACACTACTCTCTTTTTTCACAGCACAAACTGAGCTGAGAGATCTAGGTCCACCGTCCTCACCTTGCCAGAGAACATAGGAAGATGCTTGTGATGACAACAGGCAGATTCCATTCCTGAATGAGTGGGCAGCTTCAGAATACATCTAGAACCTTGCTAGACAGCCAGCTAAGTTGATCAGAACTTTCCCTAGCAGCTCCCCGTTGCTCTCCTTCATGCCCACCCCACTCTCTATATTTATCACTACAGTGCATTCTCTGAGATGCCAGTTCTCTAAATATCCCCCAATGACCCAGAATTGGTCCTAATGAGTCCTCTAAACCCTGCCAGGTCTGAGACACTGTAGCTGGGAATTAGCAGGTGGAGTCAGTGCCACTTTGAGACTCTCGCTAAAACCCTCAGAAAACTGATGCCTATTCTGTGCAGATGTCCACTAAGTGATCATAGACTGTTGTTATTTGGGCTGATGCAAAATAATCTGAGCAATTAAAAAAAAAGTTACCTCTTTTTTTTGGAGTCAGAGGAATACTGTAACATTTTTGAAAGATAATGGGTGAAGATGGAAATGGAAAAATGACAAAATGAAGGCCCTTAAAGACCCCAGTTGAAAAATGCTATCTCTTAAAAAAAAAAATGCCTTAATTCCTGGTACAACCTCCATATTTGCATATGAGCCCGTACTGTTTTCCAAACTGTCAAGCACTATTTGAAATCATTAAAGGTTTGGAATCATGATGGAACAAAATCTGTACGTGCACAACCAAAACCAGAAGAATGGGAGAAATGATTTCATTCAGGACCTTCGGCTTCTTTGTTGCATGGAGATCCTCTGTGAGATTGCCCCGTGGTTACTTCTTGCTTTGTTATGAGTCAGAAACGAGTGTGCAATTTTACCTTCCAGGAATCCAGGCGAATCTATGGTGGGTTTTGTTTTGTAGGGTAGGAGATATGGGGAGCTAAGGGGAAAACGTTTCAATATCTAAAGACTGTACATGATTGAGGTTTAAGTTTTCCTTTTTCTTAAGCTTGTGCTACCCCTTTTACTAAAAGGCTGACACACTTAGGCAGGAAAGATACTCTTGGGAATGGACTGAAATGAATAATTATCAGACTCTCCAGGATGCCGAGAGGATTAGCTCGGTTCAGATCCAAAATCAAGTTTAAATATGCAGAGCGTCATGGTTCTGCTGGGGTCCAAAGCAAGTTGGACCAGTAGCTTGAGACTTGCCTAGGAGGGATAGGAACCCAATCAACTTGCTTTACCGAATATGGCTTACCTTCAAATCCCTGCACAAGCTCTGTGACATGTATACCCACCAATTCGATTTCTACCTCCTTCATACGGGTAAACATGCCAGGTTCTCTCCAGAGTCACTCTGCAGCTGCCCAAACAGAGGCATGCAGTCCTCCGTACTGAGGAGAACGTGCCATTTTTCAACATTCAATGGGGGAGAAGAAGATCAAAGATACCTGTGCATATAAACTAAGGATAAGAACCCCAAATGGATCCACCACACACACACCCTAAATGCTTTGTCTGCAAATGTCACGTAATTGGTTTTGGATAGCAACAATGAAGTCTCAAGAAAGTAAAGTTTTCAAGACACCCCTAACACATTTTGTTTTAATCCAAACCTCTTCCCCCATGCATTAGCAGCTACTTTCTCTGCGATGTTTGCTTCCGTGTTCTTTAGAGTAATTTTGCTACTTGACAACTAGACTTAAAGCTGCCATAGACTTAAAAACCTAATCTTTGGAAATGACAAAGATCCTTTTATTCTTTGAAGCTTTTTTTTATTCATCACCTCTCCCACTTTTTCCTTTTTTTGATGTGTGTGTGATTTTGTTTTCTTTTCATCTCTTTCTTTTGTATAGTACTATAGGTATAGTTCAAGGATTCTAGAAAGAACTCAGATAGAACCACATCATCCTCACTGTTTTTTCCCCTGTCCTGACTAATAATTCAGTTTTAAGCTTGACCTTGATGCAGCCCAAACAGCAGTTGGGCTCCCATTTTCGTCTCCAAAAAGTCACTGGTCAGGGGTGATCATTAAAGCAAGGCCAGGGGGATTAGAGAGGAGGGCAAGCCAGGAGCTATATCTTCTTGAGCACAGCTGAGGACTCTAGTTCAAAGACAAGCAAGCCTCCACCTCAATCTCTTTAGAGCTGGGTCTAATCCTAGAGCCGGAGCATGGTCTCGTGAACTCTGATGTGTCAACAGACAGAATTTCTGGGAGCTTAAAAGTAGAAGAAGGCTGATTCAGTTACGTTCCTATGGTGATGTAGCTGACATACACTGGAATAGATTTCTGAAAGCTGTGACTGAGGCAAAAAAGAATGACCAGGTATGCCTTTGTGAAGGTGGCTACAGGGACAGCATCAATGCTAGCACCTGTGTCCATCATGTTCATTTCAGAGGCAAAATCCTGGATGAGGAACTGGGAAGGGACAGGCACTATATCTAAACTCTAAAATGTGTAGCGTGAAATTTAGGTGGCAAAATGAAAAGGAAAAAGACCATGAGGCATGGCCCACTCACTGCTGGTCCTCTGCTTCACATCAAATGACAAAGAGATGCCTCCTGCTGAACAGGGAGATCTGATCATTCAAGATATTTTAAACCTGTTTCATTTGCCATATAAGGCTACTTAAGAACCTTAAATACCCAAGAATTCTCCCATCAGAACCCCCTTCCGTACTTATTTCCCAGCAGTAAAAGACACCAGCAATCTACACTGACTGCCATCTAAATGTCACTGGTGACAGGACTCAGGCTGAATCCCAAGTCAGCTGACACAAGAATACCAAACACTGTTGGTCTTTCTGCATTCCTACTGATCACTTAGCATTTTCGAATTTTGGAAATAATGTTGGGGGGTGGGGGTGGCTCGATCAATTGTTGTATTGTTTTCCAAACCTCAGAAACTTTCAGTAGCTTCAGCATGGATCTTAGAACTGGGACTTTCTGTTCCACGTGTCTCTTATTTGCATAGCAGCTGAAAAGCTAAGGAATCTACTGAACCGGGCAGTGGGGATGCAGGCCTTTAATTCCAGCCCTCGGGAGGCAGAAGCAGGTGGAGCTCTGAGTTTGAGGCCCGCCTGGTCGACAGAGCAATTTCCAGGACAGCCAGAGCTACCCAGAGAAACTCTGTCTCAAAATATCAAAAAAAAAAAAAAAAAGAAAGAAAAAAATTTCACCTGACTTCGAGGCCCGCACACCTGAGCTAACCAAAACACTGGGGAGTGCTGTTTGCCAGCCATCAGGTCCACAACCTTCTAGAATTCAATCATTCGGATCATAGGCAATAAATGGCTGAATCACATGGTGTTTCTCCATATTTGCATAGACGTAGTTATTAAACGTAGGGTTCCTGTTTTGCCTTTGAAAGAACACACAAATCCATTTTTTGGAATTGCATTTGATCACACCACCTTTTCTCAAGTTCTGTTTTCTGACATCTTCCACAATTTCTTTCTTCAAAAACTTAAAGTTCTTGTTGTACAGGTCTTTCCCTTCTTTGGTTAGTGTTACCAAAACCTCCTCAAGTTCTGTAAAAATATATTAAAATCCTTTGTGCTGACACAGAATTCTAAAACAAAACTTCTTGTTATGATAGATCCTTATTTCACCTGGGAAAGAGAAACCAATTTTCCCTCCAGTTCAATACCTTGGGCACTTTAGAAGTTGCTTCTGTCCCACCTACAAACTGAGCAATCTCTGTTGCCAGCTCCTGAGACCCCAGCTTCTGAAACAGCACAAAGACCATGAAAAGACATCTTAAGCACACTAGGTAGACTCCATGTTCAAGCAGAAATACAAAAAAAATAGTTGGATTTTGAGTGTTGTTAAACATTTGAAGATTGTTAAATCAAATACAAACACACACACACACACACACACACACACACACACACCTAATCCAATCACATTGGGAGCTGACCACAAACTCAGAAAGTTTGGGGCAATTCCTTGTCTGAATCCCATGCAGTTAACTCAAGATGGGCGTATATTTCCTCGCACATCAGAGTTGTAAAGCGTATGCCAATTCTTCTAAAAAGGCCTCTGGTGGAGCTGGAGATGTCACTGATTTGATAGCATGCACAAAGCCCTAAACTGGATCCTTAGCTTCACTTAAACCAGGTAGAGTGGTATGTGCCTGTAATGCCAGCACTTGAGAGAAAGAAGAAAGGGAAGATCAAGAGTTCAAGGTCATTCTGGACTGTGCAGCAATTTTGAAACTGTTCTGGGCTGCGTGAGATCCTGTCTCGAAAAATTAATCAATTGAAAAGACCCCTGGTACTGATGGAAACCTTGAAGGTCATGTTCGTTGCTGATGGCTATTGGCCTTGTTTGTTTGTGTTTTGTTTTGTTTTGCAGCACTGGGAATTGAATCCAGGGCCTCTGGCATGCTAACCAAGTGTTCAACCAATGAGTCACATCCACAGCCCATCTTTTTCACGCTTATCCCATTCCTACCTCAGATCACCAGCAACTGAGACCTTAGCTTCTACAAGGGTGTTGACCCCATACTTAACACTTGGCAATGGTGGGGCTCTGCCTAGTTTACTGGCTTCCATCTCTCCTCTTCTAGCCGAAAGCTATGTCCTACAAATGCCGTGCTAGAGGAGGCTGGAGTTTGGCTGGTAGAAGAAGCTCACACTGCCGACAACTGAATAAGACCAGGTCCTTTAACTTGCCTGTGCAACTTACTGATGATGAGAACAGAAGCCCGCCTGCTGAACAACCAAGGCAGTGCGGATGTTTTGAAACTCATTCTACTGAAAGTCTTGCTCCCCTGAATCGCACTACTGTAGGTCTAGTTAATCCAACTATTTAATATTATTGGGCACTGAGTTAAATAGCTTTACATGAAATTTTAGCAAAGATCAATATTGTAACAAAATTACAGATTAGGAGTAAAAAGCACCTGAGAAAAGAAACTATTGATCTGCTGTGGTTTATATACTTGCATTATTCTTAGGGCTTTGTAGAGATTGGCACTTCACTGATAAAGGGAAAGAAACTGTTTTGAATTCAAGAATGGTGGAGTAATAGCAATTGCTGGGGGCTTTGGTCCTTACCCTTTCTGGGATGTTCTTCGTCCCTCAGCAGACAGGGTTGTTTGAGGACTAGAAAGGTCTAAAGGGTAAAGTTTTCCCATACCACGTATTTACAGATAATTGTTGTAGCAAACAGGGTTATGAGCTTGGTTAATGATACTGTTCCTCGTCTTTGGTTTTTTTTTTCTTCAAAAACTATTATTACCAAACCTCCACTCTAGGATTAAAAGAAGAAAAGGAAGAATGAAAAAGTAATACATGGTATTTTACATGTGTGTGTGTGAACACACATACACAAGAATGGTTGGACACACAGACACACAGAGACAGACACACAGACATACAGGCACTGACACACACATATACACACACAGACACACACAGACATGCAAACACCAACACACAGACTCATACAGACACCAATACACAGGCATAATGACACCGACAAACACAGATACACCACACACACACACACACACACACAGACAGACATAATGATACCGATACACACAATTACACACACACAGACACACACGCACACACAAGCTTTTTCTTAGATACAGGAGATGGTTTTCAGAGCCTTCAGTGAGAGTGTCCACATATCACCACTCCCCCTCTCCAGGGTTCAGAGAACAGTGACCTACCCAGAGACGAGGACAGGCAAAGACTCCCAAACTTCAGATGGAACAAGGCCACAGAGCATGTGCAATTGGCAAGTTGAGGGCATTAAGAATCACATAGTCGTGGCAGATTTCCTTGGTCAGGTGCTATTGCATGTTAGTATTTGTTCTAGGGAAGATATAAGGACAAAATCATCTGGTAAATATTAAAGAGAACAGCAGTGAGCTCTCCAGAGTCTGGGTGAGTGGGGGTTGTGGTTCCGTGGTGGAGTGCTTGCCTAACATATGGAAGGACCCCGGTTCAGTCTCCAGCACTGCAGAAGACAGAAGGAAGGAAAATCCCTCTCTCCTAAAATAACAAAGTCGGAGGGAAGAAATCCAATTAAGAAAAAAAGAAAAAAGACTGGTTCACTCTTTGAACAGCAAGACTAAAAAGCACATCTCGTACCACAGTAGTCCACAGAGACTGTAGACATTAACGCTTCCTTAAGTGCACAGTTAGTTAAAGCAGTGGTCTTAATTGTGTTGGGTTCCCAAGATTGGTTCATTAAATTGGAATTTCCTTTATCCATTACCCACAATTGTTCTGCTTTTTTTTTATCTTCTTTCCTTTGTTCACTTTTTTCTTTTCTTTTTCACTCCAGAAAGGGTTCCAGGCCCAGACTTAGAAAGACACAATTAGGTTATGTGGCAAAAACAAGAGTGCCTTTTCCACTGGATGTCCACATTCCTGGGCTCCACGGTATCCGATGTTTAGGAAACGCTTCTCTAAACATAAGATTTATTGTGCACCACAATTTTGAGCCACTGACTTATGTATCTTGAGCAGCTACCAACTTGCCAATTCCCTTTGGGTCTCCTTTATATTTTCTTAGACTATTTCTTTCTATTTTGGGTTTTCTTCATGAAGACTAGGATGGGGCGTGAGTCTTTTTAAACTGATAAAAATAAAACTGTACAGATTTCTGCCCACTTGTATCTGCAAGCATGATCTCTCTCGGGCTTGAAAATCGGCTTTATCATTTTGTATATTTGACTATTTTGTATTCGGTGTTATTTGGTTCCTTCTGTGCATGGCAATGTATTAAAATGTGGGATTTCTATTACCGTGTAAAAGTGTTTTGATTCTGATTTTCAACATATATCCTTGGCGAACGGAAAAAAAATAGCATTAAACTTTTCATTTCTATTTTCTTCAGCTCATCAGCTTTGTAGAAGGAAAAGGAAAGTTAACAGCATTTCACTTTCCCTATGTTAGCTAATGATGCAATTCATGGTGGAAAATTGTCCTCAATTATGCTGTGTTTCCTGGAGAAATAATGTATATGAAATGAATTGGAAGCCTTCCTCCCAGCACCCAGAATTCCCCCCAGTAATGAAGCCCACCAATGGGATTGTTCTTTCTGTTGAATGCTTGAGTATTGAACACAGCTGGACAAAAGCACAATGCCCTTCGTCCTCAGACATGGTAACACATCAGAGAAAAGAAGGTACTAAAGATCTTGGCTCAATTTGCTCTTGTAGACAGGAGTCTTAAATGCCCATGGTAGCATGGACAATGACATCTCCCAACACCTCCTGTCTGCATTTCTTTCAGGTGGTGACCAAGTATAAGAAATCTGTCTTTTTATGAATAGATGCAGCCTTTCAAATAACACCTAACTCAGACCCCTGGAGTTAGGAGCCAATGCTGTTAGACACATTCAGCATAAGCCTTGGCGTAGCAAACATCTATATATGTTCCTTTTTCATTTATACATATTAATATATATATATTCCAAATTTTTATTAAAACTTAACTTCCAGAATACTAAGATGCACCACATACAAACGAGGTGTTTTACCTGCTCCTCCTCTAAATTACTGCTTTCCACCTCCTCGCTTATTTTAATAAACACATATAGACACCAGGGCGTGACTGACTGTGGACTGACTCAACACGAGCTGAAAAAAGGCATCGTTTCCAGACAGAAAAGATCGTGCATCACAAGAGGACACCAGTGTTTGGTTTTGCTTTTATTTCCCAGAACAAAGTCTCATGACAACCTTTGAGGTTAACTCACTGAGTGGATGCAGAAGTCCTCAGAACTCTGCATACCTTCTGATCCCAAGCACACATTTTTCTCTGCTCCTCCGCACACAGCTTTAGAACGGTTAATGTGGCAGTCTTGTTGTTTATGTCGTCTCTTTAGAAGGTAGTGAAACCAGACTCCTCCCCATCAAAAGATATTCTCATCTTGTCATTTCTGGGATCACTCCTGAGCGTTGCATCTTCTCTTCTTGCCTCTTCCTCTTGTTTCTTCCTTTCCCTCTATTAAATGGGTCTCTCTCTTTTTGTTTGCCTGGATACATTTTTCTGCTGTCCCTTCTACCTCACATCATCTCATCTTTCTCCTCTCTCTCTCTCTCTCTCTCTCGGAGCACCAGCACCATGGGTCCTGGTGGAGAAGCTTCATCTATTGCTTTGTTAAATGGATAAGATTACATTCTTCAGACTGCATTATAAAGAATTCTGTCTATCCTTATGTGTTAATGCTACTGTTAGCTTGGGTCAGAATGACTTCTGTTTTACAGTGAGCAGCATAAACTTCAAAGACTCTGAACTAGCCACAGTGTTGAGAAGAGTTGCTGTTGGATGCTCAGCTCTAAATGGAGTATGTATACCATCCCCTCCGAAGCTCAGAGAGCACTGCAGGAGAAGGGGCGGGCAGATAGAAGGGCAGAGGAAGGGCAGAGTGTTGTGGAATGCTGCATCCCAGGCATGACTTGACCACTGCACTCTCGAACTCACAGCTCCTGTGATCCTTTGTACAAGACCTAGACAAGACAGGGCCTGTCACCATGCTGCCAGGGAGAGAAGAGGTCCCTGCCCTGTGTGAAGATTTAGAGGCAGTTTATGGTTGCTGGAGGAGAGACAGAATTTCTTCAGTGATGCGCCAATGATGAAGTGCCCATGCTCCTGTGAAAATCCTTTCACTCCTGCTTCTAAAATCAACCCTAATGAAAACCGTTAAGTCACATACACCTCCAAAGATGGGAAAGGAGGAGGATCTGAGAAGAGGACGCAGATCAGCAGATGTGGAGAGAAGATCAATGAGGATAACAGAAGGTATGAGTATTGTTAACATACACTGTATATATGTATGGAAATGGCACAATTAAACCCATTATATACAAATGTTTACTAATAGAAAGTTGAAAACAAATGTCAGGAGAGCTGAATCAAACTTTAAAATTTGGGTCATAGTCTTCCCAACTCGTTGCTTTATCCCTAACTGGATCTCACAACCCTTCTATGCTTTATTAAGAAAATCTCATTATAAAGGACAAAGTCAGGTGTGTTATCTGAGCAAGGGGAAGGTGCTAGGCACCAAGTTCTCCTAGACTCAGAATGGGCAAATTCCCATCTATACCACTTTACAGGTGCAATTCAAAGCCTTCTGGTCATCTTAGAGCTTGGAGCTTCCTACTTCTCTAGATAAACGAGACAGCTATATTTGGCTCAAGAGCAGGGATGCCTGTGAGAAGTTCAGTTGAGACCATCAAAATAATCTATTGACATAAGATTATTCAAAATCCTAGAAAAGCCTTTCATGAGATGCAGTAAAGTCTACCCAAAGGCACCTGCATCTTTCTATTTCCAGACCTGCCTTCAGAAGATCCCTTGTAGATCTCGGCTCTTTTGCAATTAGCTCACACATTTCTGCCTCCCCCAGTGCTGCTTTTCTAGCTATTTTTTACTAAAGAAATCTAAAATGCATTCCAGGTTCCTGTTGATTCATTTTGCCAAGAGATGTCCCTGGTTACGGAGGTTTGTTAGATTCTGAAAGCACTAAAGTTGCTGTACTTTCTGCTTCTCAGATAGCTTTCTTCAGTGTATAGAGATGTGTGCACCTTGTCAAATAACTTTCCATTATCTTTTGTGACTAGTGTGTAAATATTGAAAAAATAACCCCGAGAGAGGTTTGAATAAAGACAATCATATGCTTCTCTTTTTGTACAGCCCGGGATAAAATAGGAGTAGATAAAGCTGTATGCTGTTGTTTCTCAAGGAAAGATGGTCTCATTCTCAGAAGACTCGCATACAGACTTGTCAAGAATCTGGTTTTCTCTCATCTTTTCATTTTCATTTGGAACTCAAACCCTGTTGTGCCCCCATAACCCAGTCTTTGCTGAGATATCCAAGTCGGGGATGAAATACAGAGAAAAGCATCGCCCGGTGTTTCTTGGTGCTTCATCAAACTTTGAAAGCACAGAGGAGCCAGGTGTAGGAGTCAGAGGGGCTCACATGTATAACCATGGCACTTTGGAGCAGAAGGCAGGAAGATCACAAGTTCAAAGTCACCTTCAGAAAATGTAGGGCTTCTCAGCAGGTGTGAGTTTGGTTATGTTTTACACAGAAAGTACCTCATTTATCCTCCACCCAAAAACAGCTGTTTCTCTTATTTCCAATTTTCTTTAGGAAAGTCCTTCTAAATCTCAGGGTTTTTTTCCCCATATAATTTCCCCATTATTTTCCTTCTCCGGTCTTATCTGTTGTCCAGATTCTGCCCCACCAAATCATCCAGATCTAATAAACACTGAACTTTCTTCAGGTATCAATGGAATGAAAAGCCCATCATAATACATTTCTCTTAAAAATTTTTTATCAATTTATCTTGCATTTTTTTCATAGAAATTTTTGCCTCGGGACTTCATGATCATTGATTGAAAAGTAGATAGATTGATGTGGATGCCAATGGTAGCTCCAATTCTACCCGTAGAAAGTAAGCCAAACAAGTTTTGCAAGTTTTTGTGTGGATTCATTTAATGAACACAGTTGGACATTGCACAATGAACCAGGGACGATATCCATGGCACTGGGGTAGGTGTTGGGTAACTCGGAGGTAAGTGACATGTTCCGATAATAAGGGCTTACATTCCCTAAGGTCAACTCCGCTGGAGGGAATATATGTTCAGTACTGTAAACTTGATCAAAAACCTATGCTTGGAAGCTCACAGGAAATTTCCACAAGGAAATCTGCTACTGATATTTTGTTAGATAGATATGACTTCTAAATATTTATGTTTGTATAGCTCTCACCCGCAGCGAGAGATGTTTCTTTGGGCAGTGGGCAATAGTCAACACAGAGACTCATAACTTGCCAAAGCATGGAGAGGAAAGGACTTCTGAGTGCTCAGCCCTAAAAGGGACATGTATGTCACCTACTCTGAGGTCCAGGGAGCATCACCAAAGGTGGGCGGTTTCCACTGTGAGAGCCAGATAACAGGCAGGAGTACTATAAAACTTAGAAAATGCCTCCTTCTGAATAGGGCGTGGCCACTGCATTCCTGGACATACAGTAGGTGTGACCACCTGCACAAGACCTGTACATACACCAGCGGGGGGGAAGGGGGGGATCACGTGAAAGAAGGAGGGGGATGAGTATCCACAGGAGAGGGAGGGCGTCAAGAAAAGGCAGTTGGGGGGGGGGGGGTGAATGTCAACAGAGTATGCTAGATGCAGACACAAAATCATATAAAACAAAAACCTGATTAAAAACAAAAAGAAAAAAAAAAACGAAGGAAAACCCAAAATCTTTCAATCCAAGATGAAGGATGCTCTTCCGTAAATAAGTATCCTTTACTAAAACGCAAATGCCCCTGCCCCTGGTCAGATAATAATTTTAGCCTCATTTGTAGTCAGATGCTGGGATTGGAAAGAGTTGGTGCACGACTGCCCACGGTCAGGTGAGTCTGAAGACAGAGTCCAGGTTCTTTATGTTCTCCTGGAGACCCAACGCCTCACATTAGCATAAGAAAGGCCCTGAGAAGTCTTGCAGGAAATTATCTTATGTGTTTGTGCAGCATTTTCAAGATCCACTCAAGCATCGGCTCTTTTCCGCAGAGAATAGTAATTAACCTGTAGAAAAGGCATTTTGGGGATTGCTGTTTTAAGGCATTCGGTGACTAAATAGCAGTGTTATCCCAATAAAGTGAGAGGAGAGTCCCCCAGGAAAGAAGAGGTGCAAAAGACAGGCCTCTGCCAGAATACCTGTGCGGTAGCAGGAGAGAAACAACTTGGTTGTTTGCATGAGTAAATAGTCACCAAGCAGCTGCTTCA